CCCTCAGTTCCAGCTTCCTGCAATGCGGTGCACCCCGGGAGGCGGCAGGTGATGGTTCAAAGACTCCGGCTCCTGCCAGCCACAGGAGAGACCCAAGCTGAGTTTTCAGCTCCTGGCATCGGCCCAGCCCAGCCCTTAATTGTGTTGCATTCATTTAGGGGGTGAACCAGGAGACGAAGGATCTCTCCCTTCTCTCTCTCTCTCTCACACCCCCGCCCTTGTTCCTTTGTGTTGCTGAGTGAGATCCCATTGTGTGTGGCTGGGATGCAGCCAGCTTTGCTGTCAGCTCAGCTGTCGGAGGACATCCAGCTGGTTTCCCGTCTGCGCTGTTAAAGCTACAGTGAATCCAGTTCCAGGACACACGCATCTCCGTCTCTGCGGCGCCCCCTCCTCGGCCCGCTGCGGGACAGCTGTCTTGGCTGTGCCCGGTCTCCCAGGTCCTGTCTGAGGTTCCCTCACACTCAGGTTCCTGTTTCCTTGGCTGTAGCTCCTTGGAATGGAGCTGCACTGTCCTCAGAGTGGCTCCTCAGGGAGTCTGACTGTGTTGTCTGCGACGTTTGTCCATCACCATCTCCCGCTCTTTAACGGAACAGGAGTTTCTGGGACGATATCCCAGGATTGCCCCACTACCCTGTTCCTCATCAAAGTTGCTCAATTCACCAGGCTTGGGCTGTGCTGAAAACTCATGTCCGAATCAATGAGTGCTCTGATGGTGCCGGGTAGTGGTTTCACACTTCTGTGAGCTCTTCCACAATGAAGAGCTGGCATTCTGCTGTAACAAAGAGCTCTCTCCCTCTCTCTCACTCTTTTCCTAGCCATCACCTGTGCGACTCAGGGATTCCAATTTTATTCGAGGGCTTGAATTCCTTCACGTCCTCACTTGCTTTGATCCTCAAACTGTCACAGGGTTGGCTTTGACCTGTGGGAGCTCCCACAAGCTAGCTGCCTCTTCTGCATTCCTTTGCCTTGTCCTTGTCATTTTTGAGCAATTTCTTCCTTTCTAGCAAATAAGATGCTTCCGTTGATCTTGTACTTTTCCTGCCCCAACCTTGGGATCAGCTATTTCTCCACGGACTCCTCATTCCTGTTATTGGAAGCTGTGATACACTCTGCTACAGTGGTGTCACTACTTCTAGTCCCTCTCAATGGACAGAATTAGGAAATTAAAACTCACCCTCCATCTCTCCCTCCACGTCTGTTCACATATGTATACGTTCAGGCATAGCAATTCATAAATGAGAGTACCACGAAGAGTTTGTGGAGGGGCCAGTGCTGTGGCATAGCAGGTAAAGTAGCTGCCTGTGGTGCCAGCATCCCATATGGGTGCTGGTTCGAGTCCCAGCTGCTCCACTTCCCTTCCAGCTCCCTGCCCATGCACCTGGGAAAGCAGCTGAGGATGGCTCAAGTCCTTGGGCCCCTGCACCCACATGGGAGACCAGAAGAAGCTCCTGGTTCCCGGCTTCAGATCTGCCTGGCTCCAGCAGTTGTGGACATTTGGGAAATGGACCAGCAGATGGAAGATTTTCTTTCTTTCTCACTCTCTCTCTCTCTCTCTAACTCTGCCTTCAAAATAAATAAATAAATCTTAGAAACAAGAGTTCGTGGAAAATGGAATTAACAGATAAGTTTATTTTTTAAAAGAATTTTTATTTATTTATTTGACAGGTAGAATCTTAGACAGTGTCAGAGAGACAGAGAGAAAGGTCTTCATTCTATTGGTTCACTCTCCAAATGGCTGCAACGGACAGAGCTGTGCTGATCCGAAGCCAGGATCCAGGTGCTTCCTCCCAGTCTCCCATACAGGTGCAGACACCAAGCACTTGTGCCATCCTCCACTGCTATCCCAGGCCACAGCAGAGAGCTGGACTGGAAGAGGAGTAGCTGGGACTGGAACCAGCACCCATATGGGATCCCGGTGCTGCAGGCGGAGGATCAACCTAGTGCACCACAGTGCCGGCTCCAAGTTCATTTTGATACAAAAAAAAAAAAATTTGAAATCCAGGTTTGCTGGTGTGATGCTTTGGGCTAAGCTTCCATTTGCAACGCTGGCATCCCATGCTGGTGCAACAGTTCAAGTACCGACTGCTCTGCTTTTGATCCAGCTGCCTGATAATTTGCCTGGGGAACACAACAGATGATGGCCCAAGCACTTGGGCCGCTGCCACAGATGTGGGAGGCCCAGATGAAGCTCCTGGCTTCAGCCTGACCCAATACTGGCTCTTGTAGGCAATTAGGGAGTGAGCCAGCAGATGGAAGATCTCTCTCCCTTTCTCCCTCTCTATCACTCTGCCTTTAACATACAAATTTGAAATCCATGCATAGCTTTTTCATAATATGCATTTTCCACAAACTTTTGAAGGACTTTTCATACATATTTCTAAAACCGAGTTCATGTTATCTCCAGTTTCAGCCCAATACCTAGGCATTCTTGATAGCCTTCGCCAACTTTCCTTGTTTACAATACCTCTTCCAAAACCGGTGCTGTGGTGTAGCAGATAACACTGCTGCCTGTGGTGCCGGCATCCCATACGGCTGCTGGTTCAAGTCCTGGCTGCTCTGCTTCTGATCCAGCTCTCTGCTATGGCCTGGGAAAGCAGCAGAAGATGATACAAGTCCTTGGGCCCCTGCACCCACATGGGAGACCTGGAAGAAGCTCCTGGCTCCTGACTTCTGATCCACACAGCTATGGCTGTTGTGGCCAAATGGGGAGTGAACCAGCTGATGGAAGACTCTCTCTCTCTCTCTCTCTCTCTCTCTCTCTCTCTCTCTGCCTCTGCCTCCCTGTGACTCTGCCTTCAAAGAAAATAAAAATAAAATCTTGGCTGGCGCTGTGGATCAATAGCCTAATCCTCCACCTGCGGCGCCAGCACACCGGGTTCTAGTCCCAGTCGGGGCGCCGGATTCTGTCCCGGTTGCCCCTCTTCCAGGCCAGCTCTCTGCTGTGGCCCGGGAGTGCAGTGGAGGATGGCCCAAGTGCTTGGGCCCTGCACCCACATGGGAGACCAGAAGAAGCACCTGGCTCCTGGCTTCAGATCAGCGCGGTGCGCCGGCCACAGCACACCGGCCATGGCGGCCATTGCAGGGTGAACCAACGGCAAAGGAAGACCTTTCTCTCTGTCTCTCTCTCTCACTGTCCACTCTGCCTGTCAAAAAAAAAAAAAAAATTAAAAAAAAAAATACCTCTTCCAACAGTGAGAAATCTGGCTCCCATTACCCTCACAATATGGAGTCCTCAGTGGGCCCAGTCCCAGCCATGCTGGCTGACTGTCCCATCACCTTTAAAGGATCTGGCACTGCTGGCACCGACTCCTCCCTTCCCCGACAGCGCTGCATCCCCAGGGGCTGGCGGGCACCCTGCTGCCTCCCTCCAGCCACAGCCACCCAGCCAGCCTCCCTGCCAGGCCCTCTACTCTGGGAAGGGAAGATGGCAAAGATTGACCATAGATTTTTGGAGGTTGCATATTTGTGTTGTTTGTATCTGCTCTGCTGTTAGCCCAAAGGGACAGGGCGCATGGGGCACTCCAGTGGTCCTTGGCCGTCATCAGAGAACCTGGATTCTGCCCTTGCCTGGAAGAACATTTAGAGCACTTTACTGAACTGGGATTGGCATGTGTATAGTCAGCAGGTGCCACTGGACAGTTTGGGGGGTGAAGTATCAGTACCTTCAGACCATAAGCACATCCATCACCCCTCTTGCTCTCCTCGCTGTTGTTACTATTTATTCTTATTGCTTTGTGTGTGTGTTGGAACACTTACTGGAAGCTCCGCCTTCTGGCAAACGTCACCTACCCAGGACAGTGCTGTTAGCTTTCACGGTTGGTGGATCTCCACAAGGTATTCACCCGTGTGACTGAAACTCTCTATCAGTTAACCCACACCTCCCCATTCCCGCCGGCAGGCACACTCTGCTCTCTGCTTCTCTGAGTCAGTTTCAGATTCCCAGGGTAAGCACGTGGTCTCTGTTTTTCCGTGCCTGGCTTATTGCACTTAACACGATGTCCTTCAGGTCCTTGCGTCTTGTCACCAGGGACTGGATTTTCTTATTTATTTATTTGAAAGTCAGAGAGAAGGAGAGACAGAGAGAGAGGTCTTCCATCCACTGGTTCACTCCCCAAGTGGCTGCAATAGGCAGAGCTGCGCCAATCCAAAGCCAGGAAGCAGGAGCTTCTTCCGGGTCTCCCACACAGGTACAGGGACCCAAGGGCTTGGGCCATCTTCCACTGCTTTCCCAGGCCATAGCAGAGAGCTGGATCAGAAGTGGAGCAGCCGGGACTCGAACCGGCTCCCATATGGCTGCAGGCAGTGGCTTTACCTGCTAAGCCCCCTAGAATTCCTTCTTTTGAAAGGCTGAATCCCCTCCTGAAAAGCTTTTCAAGTGCCCTCTTCTCTAGCTGGGGCTGGCTCCTGGCCTGGAGGATCCAGGAAACCAGGGGATTTGCACACCGCCAGCCCGCATTGCTTTCCCATCCCTGCCGAAGACGGGACTGTGGTCAGTGGAGGCTTCTGTTTGTGAGCTTGAATCGTTTCCTTCTACTCTGGGAAGCTTCTCCTTCGTTGTTCTCCCCGGGCTGGGCCAGACTCCCCCAGACTGCCTGTCTCCAAGCTGGGCTGGGCATCGTTGGGAACACCTGTGAGTGTATGAGCTAAACTTCTTTCTCCATTACCACTGCACCAAAGTGTACCTTCTCCTTAGCCTGTGGCCACCTTAACCCACTGCCTTGTTAGATTGTCACTAGGTGATCTTTTACGATTATGTACTTGATGTGTACGTCAGCAGTTCTGGACAGGACGTCTTTATGGAGGCTGCTAATTTTCCACTTGGCAGTCTTTCTCTTTAAGTAATTTAAGTAACGTAACTCCCCACATCTGAGTAGGCTGATGGCCAACCAGCTGAGTGCCACATTTCCCACCTTCCCTTGTCTCTGGGTGTGGCCGTGAGTTTGAATTCCGACCAATGGGATGTGAGCAAAAGTGATTATGCCATGTCCAGGCCACACCCTTAAAAGGAATGAGTGTGCACACCCTTTTCCTTTTCCCCTTCCCACTGGTCAGCATGCAAACGTGATGGCAGGAGTTGGAGCAGCCACCTTGGGACACTGAGACAGAAGCCACACATTGAGAATGTCAGAGATACTGTACCAGCTCTAGACTACCTTGGAACTACTATGTAAGAGAAAATCTAAATTCTATTTAGTTGAAGTCACCATATTTAGAGATATCTGACCCTCTGGAATATATCCTAAGACAGCTTGCCACTGTCTTTCCTTAGAAACTCTTTATTTGTACATATTTATGTTTTCTTATTTCAAATTTATGTTTAATGTCCACATTTTAAAAATATTTTTATGCATGTATTTTTGAAAAGTTACAGAGAGAGGGAGAGAGTGATCCTCTATCTATTGGTTCACTCCCTAGATGGTTACAATGGCCAGTGCTGGGCCAGGATGGAGCCAGGAGCCAGGAGCTTCTTCCAGTCTCCCACGCAGGTGGCAGGGGTCCAAACACCTGGGCTATTTTCCACTACTTTTCCCAGACACATTAGCAGGGAGCTGGGTTGGACGTGGAGCAGCCAGGATTCGAACCAGCACCCATATGGGATGCTGGCATCTCAGGTGGCAACCTTACCCACTGTGCCACAATGCCAGCCCCTAATGTTCACATTTTTAAAAATTGAACTGTTGCTTGGTGGGTTCAGCTAACTTTTTTAAAGAATTAGCTATGGATTTATTTATTTTAGGGTGCTTGGAGATGATTTTTCTGCTACCTTTACACTAGAAGGAATATTAGGCCATGTGTGGAATTGTAGGGCCTTTTCTCACGGTCTCTGTGCCGGGTCCATTGTCTGCTGCTGTCGGAAACTGCGGAAAACAAGCGTGGGGCCAGTGTCACTTGGTCCCCGTGGGAGATGGTCTGGGTGCTTGTGTGGGGGCTGCTGTTTTTATCCCGGAGATTCTGGAACATCCCAGAAGTTCATCTGGTCTCCACGGTGCCTTCATTCGGTGGCCCAGTGTGGGGAGCAACTCGGACTAGACTGTTACTGGAATTAAGACTTATTCTATGTATCTGCTCTCCCACAATATGGCGCTGGGAGAGGAGGGAACAGCTTCTACTCAGCTGCCTCCAGTTCAACCAATAAACAGCAGGACCTGCTCCTGATTGGAGGAGAGCAGCGTACTCGGCGTGTGGGCAGCAGAGTTGGGATTGGTGGAAGAGGACTATAAAGGAGGAGAGAGACAGCATGCACCAGGAACATCTGAAGGAACACCTGTGCAGCCCCCGAGAGAGCCAGCCGGCGGTGTGCCGCTCCCCGCGGAAGTGGGGAAGGTGGCAGGGGGAACCGCCCTTCCACGGAGGTGGAAGGGACGGTAGCCAACCCGGGAAGAACCAGCAGCAAACCTGGGGAGGGCCGAGCAGACAAAAGAACAGCGCAGGGTCCTGTGTCGTTCCTCCACGAAGACGGGGAGCGACATAATGGTGCTGTGACTCGGATATGAAGCCTAGGCAGGGTTTAGTGTCGTTCCTCCACGAAGAGGGGGAGCGACAGCCCAGGAAGAGGATAAACTCTGTGCTTCTGCCAGATTGAATCGTTCAGAGTCGTTTTTGTTTCTTGGATGCCATCACCCACTTCCGGCGATCTGTCTGCTCATCACCAGGGACTCTGTGTGTGAGTGTCCTTCACACAAGGGCCCGCCCTTTCGCTCCTCGTCGCCTAATGTGACTTCTGATATTCATGTGCTTTTCTTCTCTTTCTTCTTTTTTTTTTTTTTTTTTTTTTTTTTTTTTTTTTTTTGACAGGCAGAGTTAGACAGTGAGAGAGAAAGAGAGACATAGAGAAAGGTCTTCCTTCCGTTGGTTCACCCTCCAATGGCCGCCGTGGCCGGTGTGCTGCGGCCGGCACACTGCGCTGATCCGAAGCCAGGAACCAGGTGCTTCTCCTGGTCTCCCATGCGGGTGCAGGGCCCAAGCACTTGGGCCATCCTCCACTGCCCTCCCGGGCCACAGCAGAGAGCTGGCCTAGAAGAGGAGCAGCCGGGACAGAATCCGGTGCCCCTACCGGGAGTAGAACTCAGTGTGCTGGCACCGCAGGCGGAGGATTAGCCTAGTGAGCCACGGCGCTGGCCTCCCTTTCTTTCTTTATCACTCCAGCACCATCACTCTGGTTTGTGGATCTCTAATTTTTTATGCTTGTTTGTTTCCCAGGGGCCATAGGACGTTTCACTCCCCCTGAGCAGGCAGAGAAGGTTCTCGTCAGCATTGGCTTCTCTTTCTGGAACTCTTTCTGTCTCTGAGCTGCTGTCAGTCCAGGTGTTTTCTTGGGCTGTTATTTGGGAGGGAATGCAGTGTCTTCCACAGATTCCCAATGTGGAATGCAGTGTCTTCCACAGATTCCACAAGAAAGAGGGACTGTTTTAATTTATTAAGAAAATCAATCTGGACCTGGGATCCAAACCCCTTTGGATATGACTTTTCCGTCCTAGGAGATGAATGGCTGAAGGAATAAGTCAAGCATCCCCCGAAGGACGTGAGCACCAGGAAGGCAGCTCCTGCAGCTGCTGTCCCTGATGAGTGCCCTGCAAAGAGGTTACGACTGGGTGAAAAGCAGAGAGGCCTGGGATGCAGGCTGGTTTGGAGACGCCCACCGTAGTGCTAATTGGAGCTTAGTGGGAGAGATTGTAATAAGGTCTGCCGACCAGATGAGATGAGCTACTGAAGTGCGAACGCGTGACCTAATGACGCAGGTGGGAAAAAGTGAGAAGACAATTTTCAGAGTAGAATTCCATTTTGGGTTTTGTTTGGTTTGTTTTTAAGGCAGAGTTTCACAGAGAGAGAGAAGGAGAGAGAGAGAGAGAGATCTTTCACCTGCTGATTTACTCCCAAGTGGCGGCAACGATAGGGGCCGGGCCAGGCTGAAGTCGAGAGCCAGGAGCTTCCTCCAGGTCTCCCAGTGGGTGCAGGGCCCAAGCACCTGGGCCATCATGCACTGCTTCCAGCAGTGGGCATTGGCAGCAAGCTGGATTGGAAGTGGAGTAGCTGAGACTCGAACCAGCCACTCGAGAGCCGGTTGTGGGCACCCCAAGTGGCAGCTTAATCCATGGTGCCACAATGCCAGGCCCTGTTTTAACCATTTGAAAGCACCCAGTTCAGTGGCGTTGAGTGCACTCGCATTGCTGTGCAGCCATCACACCATCCGTACCCAGAACTTTACCTTCCCAAACCAAACCTCTGTACCTAGCGGACGACTGCTAATTCTGCCTCCATCCATTCTTGTCATTTTCAAGAGTCTCCCAAACTGTATGAGCTTTAAACTCCGCAAAACCTTGCCCGAGGGACAACAAGGTACCGTGCCAACCCCTGAGCACACTTTGAAATGGCACCTTACAGTGCCAGCGTGGCTTTAGCCTCAAACCAGAGGACAGGATAGAACCAAGGCGACTGTCACCAAGTTCTCGACACCCAAGGTGCAAACAGCAATGATTGTGGCAGCACCAATGCCACGGAATATACAGGAAGACAAAAGGCGGTGACGTCCCAGATGATTAGAATATACATTTCTAGAACTTTCCCCAGAAGCTGCAAGTTTGTCCTTTCCCAGCCTTCCTGTCTGTAAAGTAACCTATTTTCTTCATTGCTTAGAATTATTGGTAAATAGTACCATCATTTGCTGAGCAGTAAATTAGAGTTTTATATCATCATATTAGCTAGTTACAAGTCTGGCTCAACATGACACAAACCCTAAATTTATTTCTTTTTTTCTTTTTTTCTTTTTTTTTTTTGACAGGCAGAGTGGACAGTGAGAGAGAGAGAGAGACAGAGAGAAAGGTCTTCCTTTGCCGTTGGTTCACTCTCCAATGGCCGCCACGGCCGGCCGGCGCACCGCGCTGATCCGATGGCAGGAGCCAGGAGCCAGTTGCTTTTCCTGGTCTCCCATGGGGTGCAGGGCCCAAGCACCTGGGCCATCCTCCACTGCACTCCCGGGCCACAGCAGAGAGCTGGCCTGGAAGAGGGGCAACCGGGACAGAATCCGGCGCCCTGACCGGGACTAGAACCCGGTGTGCCGGCGCCGCTAGGCGGAGGATTAGCCTAGTGAGCGGCGGCGCCGGCCCTACCCTAAATTTATTTCTGTCATACATAAAAGAAGTCTGAAAGTACACAGTTCAGGGCTGTGACATTCAACACGATCGTTTTACGATCATCAAGGAACCACAGCCCCCCCCCCCCTTTTTTTAATCTTGTTATGCCATTTATGGCCCAATGGGGCTGCTCAAGCTCCAGCAATCAAGTCTTATTCTGGCCAGAGGAAAGAACAAGGAGTGAAACAGAAGTGTACCCTCTTCCTGCAGTGATTGCTTCTAGAGGTAGCACCGTGCACTTGAGCCAGGAAGTACTCACAGTGCCATAGCTAGTTGCGAGGGAGCCAGGAAATATTCTGGGAAATCTTGTGCCCAGTTATACTGCAGGTATTCTAATACTAAAGAGATGGAAACAATGGGTACTGGAGTAAGACAACAGCCAGAAGGTTCATTTTGTACAAAACATTTATTTGGCAGCATGACAGAGGAGGAGAGAGAGAGACAGAGAGACAGAGAGAGAGAGAGACAGAGACAGAGACAGAGACAGAGGACTTAGCACACCTGTAGGGACGAACGCACACAAACCGTGTACCCAAACCCAGACGCTTTGCCAACAGGGCTAAGCCTCAACGGGGAAAAGCTACGCTTCCGTTTAGCGCTGAGCATGGCTCTGCTCTGTGTGTTCGGTTTCCAGGCTGTTTCCAGGGCCATGTGGACCACGGGCCGCGGTTTCTACCCCATCCTTAGCGAACGTTACCGTCGAGGACATCCTCCCGAGTGGCAAACATGATGAAGCCAGGACGGTGAGTTCAGAAGTCACAGGACTGAGCCAAGAGTGAGGGAGGTGCTAGAGCAGGGTGGGGGCTCCATGGCCAGGGGAGGGGCTGAGGGCTCCAGACCTTGTGAACCTTCCTCTCTCTCTCTCTCTCTTTCTCTGACTTTATAATGCAACACAGGATCAAACTCCCGTGCTAGTGGTGCATAGTGGTTGTCAAACTAGTCTTCCGAACCTGTCACCTTTGACCTGGACAGTTACTACATTGCTTCAAAAATTCTGGAATGAATTTTGTCCCAATGAGGACACCATCTGACCCTGAAGTGGCCTTGACTAGGGGCCCGCCTACTTGGCTCCTTGCCCTTGCCTTAGCTTCCCCACCCGTGGGGCTCCTTCTTGGTCTGGTCCAGGGATGAGAGACGCTGTCACTCAGCTCATCGGGGTTCTGTCTCTCCCAGCTGGCATGCCCACACGCTGGCCTCCAGGCAAGAAGCCAATCACTTCTACTGTTTGGCGCTTTTTGACCTCCTAAGGGAGCAGAAATCCTGTAGCAGTAGGTGGTGGCCGTGGCAGCAGCCCGGCCACAAAAGTCCGTGTTGCAGATAACCCCGGGGGTGGGGGCCCAGCTCACACGCAGCTGGGGAAGCTGGAGTTTAAGTTGCATTCAAAGAAAGGGAGAGCATTCTCCTCCGAGCACTAGCGCCCCTCCTTTCTTGCTTCCTGTCTTGCTCACCACCTTCTCAGCAGATCCTGGGAGATCTGTGTCCTGGGCACCCCCAGTAGGGCTGCAGAACATCAGGGCGTACGTAAGTATTAAAAAAAAAAAAAAAAAAAAAAAAAAAAAAAAACCACGCCGGAAGAAAAGGGAGGCTCCTCTGCTCATCCCTTTCCTGCAGGCCAGCCCTGGTTTAGCATGATGTCATCCATTCATCATTGTGAGCTGATTGGCCGTCCCCGGGCTTGGCCAGCAGCCCAAGGCCAGGAGGGAAGAGAGAGATCCCAGGACGGACGTGCAGCAGGCCCCTGAGCATGTGCAGAAATGTTGTCATCAGTTCCACGTAGAACGCCTTGGTGGAAACCAAAGAAGACGGTACAAGTCACAAGATCCTATCCAACCTTCCCCGCCCTGAACGCCTGGGAAGAATTCAGGGGCCTCTTGGCTGTGGATGGGGAAGCGAACCCTGGCGTGAGCATGGGTGTGGAGGAGGGGCTGCTCTGCCAGATGGTTCATTCTCCAGAATTCAACCTGTTTCCTGACTCCGTGATGTTTGAAAGCAACTTTGTCCAGGTACTCTTGGGTGGCTCCCAACAGCCCTCCACTCTCCCACGTCCGTTCCCAAGCCGGAGCCCGGTCCCTCAAACCACAGTGCTTCTCCTGGGGACGGTTGTCCCCAGGGGGCCCAAGGTCAGGGGTTCGTATTCCAAGTCCCCAGTTAGCTTTTCCTCCTCCAAGCTGCCGCCTGGAAGCAGAGGAAGAAAGAGGCAGTAAAAGGAGAGGCCCCGTGCGGGTTAGGGCCAGAAAGGCGATTCCGTGAGAGCGCAGGGGCTGGGGTCCCACAGAGACCTGGGCTCAGAGTCCAGTCGTCTGCCTTGCTGTTGGGAGGCGCACACACTCTGCATCCCAGCCTCCTCTGCTGCGAAAGTGCTGGGTGGCTCTGGGCTTTCGATGCAAACGCCGCAAGCCAAGCGCCCAATCCAACAGGCGCTCAGTGCAGTTTTGTGTCCGTGCCTGGGCCAGAGAGAGCCAAGAACCTGTGCACCTGTGGAGTGGAGGTGACCAGCCTGCTGGGTGAAGGAGCAGGAGATAAGGGGGCCCCCCAGAGCAGCGCCAAGGGGATGAGTTTTCCAAAGAAAACCCAGGAAAGAGTCCAGGGAGACCTCACAGAAATAGGATAGATGCCAGGGAACAGTGGTTCAACCCATATACGTTATAACAGCGCTTCTCAGAGAGCAATGGTATTGCCTCCTCCTCCCCCACCCAGGGAACCTTTGACAATGTCTGGAGACGCTTTGGGTTGTCACAGTTGGAGGGAGTGGGGATGCACTTGGAGATGCCACCAAGCTTTCCACAGTGCACAGGACAGCCTCCCCCCCCCCCCCAGCAATGAACTTGGCAGAGCCAAGACTGAGAACCCCTGTGCTAAAACATCCTGCTGCTTCTACCAAATGCTCAGGCTGAGCCTGGGGGCTGCGTTGCAGGTCAAAAAGGGCAGGAACTGGACAGACATCTACAAAGCCTCCAACACCATGGCCCTTGGGGTGACCTCCTCCGTGCCCTGCCTGCCCCTTCCCAACATCCTCCTCATGGCCAGCGTCAGATGGCGCCAGGGGCAGAGCCAGACTTGGAACAGACCATCCACAGCCCCACGCATCATGCTGAAGAGGTAAGCCGTGCAGAGGGACTCTCGGAGAAGAGGGGGAGGGGTGTGTCCAAAGGGGAGGCCGCTCGGGGCCTGCACGCAGGGTCAGAGAAAGCAGAGGAGTCAACAGCAGTGAAATCTGTTTTTATAGACACCCATATCCCAAGACAGGGGTCCATTGGGAGGACGGAAGCCAAATGGGACTAAAGGGGGTGTTATGTGAGCAGGACGGACGGGCCAGTCTGCTGCCCCCTTAGCGCACTGCGTTCCTGGGAGGCCTCCCAGCCTTTGGCCAAGGGCACGGAGGCATGAGGCCTGGCAGACGCAGCCCTGCTGGGAAGGTGCAGCAATGCAACCAACTGAACTCAATTTGGGGGTCACAGGTCACTACGCCTCGGTTCTCCCATTGGTAAAATGACTGTCGGAACTGTCACCCACGGTGACGTCATGCTTGTCGGGATGACACAGCCCTGTGTTGATGGCTGAGCTTCTTAAAATAACCCGGGGGGTGACTCAGAATCTCTAGCTCTTCCCAGATGCCTGGGAACACCTGTCATTTCTCCATGCTCCCACCTCCCCCACCCCATCGTGTTCTGGGTATACCTATAGTGAGAACAGCCCGGTGGTAGATTCAGAGCCAGCTCCGTGAGCCCTAAGTCTTCTGAGAAGAGCCCCTGAGGAATTCAAGTCAGGGAATGGACAAGCCAAATGGGTGGCCAGCTCCCTCTCTGCTGTCCAGAAAGAAATTGCGAAGCCCCGTGTCCCCAGCTCTCTTACTCCTGGGCTCTCTCTCTCTCAGACAGGGTGCCAGGAACATGGCATGGTGCATGAAGGCTAAAATGCAGAATCTGGGGGCCGGCGCTGTGGCGTAGCAGGTAAAACCGCCACTGCCAGCATCCCCGGCAGCTCCACTTCTGATCCAGCTCTCTGCCATGGCCTGGGAAGGCAGTAGAGGATGACCCAAGTGCTTGGGCCCCTGCACCTGTGTGGGAGACCCGGAAGAAGCTCCTGGCTCCTGGTTTTGGATCAGTCCTGCTCCAGCCATCACAGTCATTTGGGGAGTGAACCAGCAGGTGGAAGATATTTCTCCCTACCCCCTTCTCCTTTTCTCTCTGTATTTCTGCCTTTCAAATAAATAAATAAATAAATCTTTAGAAATGCAGATTTCTAGTCCACATCCTAGACCTACTGACTCTGAATTTTTGGAGGGTTTCTTCAGATATTTACATTTTATTTTTTTAAAAGACTTATTTATTTACTTGAAAGGCAGAGAGATGGGGCCAGCACTGTGGTGTAGTGGGTTAACACCCTGGCCTGAAGCACCGGCATCCCATATGGGTGCTGGTTCTAGTCCCGGCTGCTGCTCTTCTGATCCAGCTCTCTGTTGTGGCCTGGGATAGCAGTGGAGGATGGCCCAAGCCCTTGGGCCCCTGCACCCACATGGGAGACCAGGAAGAGGCACTTGGCTCCTGGCTTCAGATTGGCGAAGCTCTGGCTGTTGTGGCCATCTGGAGAGTGAATCAGCGGATGGAAGACCTCTCTCTCCATCTCTACATCTCTCTGTAACTCTGTCTTTCAAATAAATAAAATAAATCTTAAAAAAAAAAAAAGGCAGAGTTATACAGAGACAGAGACCTTCCATTCACTAGTTCACTTCCCAAATGGCTGCAATAGCTGGGACCGGGAGCTTCTTATAGGTCTCCACGTGGTAGCAGGGGTCTAAGTACCTGGGCCATCTTCAGCTGCTTTCCAGGTGCATTAGCAGGGAACCAGATTGGAAATGGAGCAACTGGGACACGAACTGACACCCACATGGGATGCTGGCACTGCAGCTGGTGGATTAACTTGCTGCACCACAGTGAAGCCCCATTTTTTTTTTTTTAATAGATGACTCCTGGGACCAATGTTGTGGCATAGCACGTTAAGCTGCCACTTACGTTGCTGGCATCCCATATCAGAGTGCTGGTTCCAGGCCTGGTGGTCCATTTTTGATCCAGCTCTCTGCTAATGTGCCTGGGAAGGCAGCACAAGATAGCTCAAGTACTTGGACCTCAGCCACCCATATGAGATACTGGGCTGGAGTTTCTGGCTCCTGACTTCAGCCTGGCACAGCCCTAGGCTGTGGAACCAACGGATAGAAGGAACCAATGGATGGAAGATCTTTCTCTCTCTCCCTCTCTGTCACTCTGCCTTTTGAAGGAATGAATGAATGAATGAATGAATAAAATAAATCTTTAAAATAAAATAAATAAAATAAAATAAATCTTTATTTATAAGTCAGAATTACAGAGAGAGAGGGAGAGATAGAAAGATCTTGCTTCCTGTGGCTCACTCCTCAAATGGCTGCAATGGCTGGGGCTGGGCCAGGCTGAAGCCAGGAGCTTCATCCTGGTCTCCCACATGCTTGCAAGAGCCCAAGCACTTAGGCCATCCTCCTCTGCTGATGTCCCAGGTGCATTAGCAGGGAGCTGATGGGAAGTGGAGCAGCTGGGACTCGAACTGGGGCCAATATGGGATGACGGTGCTGCAGGCAGCAGCTTAACCCAGTGCACCATAAGGCCAATCCTGTTGGTGAGTGGGCTCAGCAGCTGCACCAAACGCCCACCTCTGTTCTCTGCATTTTAAACCAGCTTCCAGGTGTGTGTGAGCCCCCGGATCTGAGCATGTGGCGTTAAGAGCTCACCTGCTCCTAACGCCTCAGCCCTGGAGGCGCCACTGCATTTCAAGGACGATAAGGTCAGCTGAGACACAGCGAGGCCGCGATGTGTGTGTTCCCTGTGCCCTCAGGATTCTCCCGCTGAAGTTTGTGGAGCTCCGGGTCTACGACCGGCTCCAGCGCGTCCTGCGGCTGAGGACGGTCACGGAGAAGATCTACTACTTCCGGCTGCACCCTGACCACCCGGAGACCGTCTTCCACTTCTGGATCCGACTGCTTCAGATTCTGCAGGAGGGGCTGTCCATCACCACCAAGGACCCCAGGATCCTTGTCACTCACTGCCTGGTCCCCAAGAACTACTGCAGCCCCTCAGGAGACACTAAGGTAAGGGAGCCCCACTGCCAGCCTCCAGCCGAGGCCAGAGCCGGGCAGGGAGGCGGTGCAGCCCGGAAAGGCCGGCTCAGCCTTCAGCTGTCTTGAAACGGCACTGACACCCTTAAAGTTCACCCACTGTAAGTGTGGTGACCTTGAACCCTCCCGGCAGCTCTACAGGGTCCTGCAGCCGTCACAACAATCCAGCTGTAGACTATTTCCACCTTGCCCATTTGTAGTCATTCCCTGTCCCTTTGTACTTCAAAAAGTTTATAGAAAAATGATAGTAAGAGATATGTTAATTTTGGTGCAAAATTATATGAGGATCTTCAGAAAGTTTATGGGAAAGAAATATAGATTTCAAAATTTTTGCACCAAATAAACTGCTTTCCCTTAAAAAAAAAAAGTTTTATTTATTTGTTTGAAAAAAGAGAGAGAGAGAGAGAGAGATCTTCCCTCCACTGGTTCACTCCTCAAATGACCGCAACAGCCGGAGCTTGGCTAGGCCAAAGCCAGGAGCCAGGAGCCTCCTCTGGGTCTCCCACGTGAGTGGCAGGGGCCCAAGCACTTGAGTCACCCTTGCTGCTTTCCCAGGCCATAGCAGGGAGCTGGATCAGAAGTGGAGCAGCTGGCACAGGAACCGGTGCCCATATGGGATTGCCAGCGTTGCAGGCAGCGGCTTTACCCACTTTGCCACAACACTGGCCCCAATAAACTTGTCTTTTAGTTCCCTTTCCCATAAACTTTTTGAAGTGGCCTCATGTTAATAGGAATAGATTATCTACTAAGTTATGTTACCAGGCATTCGATGAAGGCAATATTTTTAGGGTACTGGTGGACATGAATACCTACACAGGGGTAGCAAACCACAGCTGTTGTCTCAGGATCGGCCCCCTCCCCTGAGCAGCTGCTGTGACTGGAAGAGTTCGAGCTGCAACACCTTGGAGTCTGGACTTTAGGTCAATGCAGAGACGCGAAGGCCTTAACCACTGGCTTCTCTTTCCTTCTCTCCATCTAGTTAGTGCAGAAGAAACCCCGAGCCCCCCAGCCCAGCGAGAGCCTCCTGCAGCTGATGGCCAAGGCGGAGAGCGAGGCCCTCTCTCAGATTTTTGCCGACTTGCACCCGCAGAACCAGTTCAGGTACAGGACTTACATCCGGCTGGCCTGGGCAGGCCGTCTGCGGCTCCGATGGTCTGGGCCGTGAGTCTGGCAGCCGAGGAACCTGGTGAATGAGCACGGGCAGGGCGGGCAATCTGCCCCCAGTATCCAGTTTCCACCCTCAGTGCAGGGCAACCTCTCTCAGCTCCCTTCGCCCGCTTCTGTTGCTGCTCTTTTTTTTTTTTTTTTTTTTTAAACAGGCAGAGTTAGACAGTGAGAGAGAGAGGGGGGCAGAGAGAAAGGTCTTCCTTCCTTTGGTTCACCCCCAAATGGCCACTATGGCCAGTGCGCTGCGCCGATCCGAAGCCAGGAGCTGGGTGCTTCCTCCTGGTCTCCCATGCGGGTGCAGGGCCCAAGCACTTGGGCCATCCTCCACTGCCCTCCCGGGCCACAGCAGAGAGCTGGCCTGGAAGAGGGGCCACCGGTGCTGCTCTTAATAAGCATGGCAGGCCCAACTTCATAAAAAGTGAAAAGCAGCTCTCCATCACAAAGTTAGTAACACAGGTGGAAACGTGAGGCCTGATTGCCAGTCCAGTGCCAGGTCCAAACATCATTTAAAGCATGGTCTACTTATTGGGTTCATGTGCCTGCCCGCTCGGCTTCTCTCTGTACTGTATGGGGCTTCTGTGCTTGCTTTCTAAGTGTACAGCCTGTTCTGGAAAGCTCCGTGGCACAGAGCCACCCTCCCTGTGTTAGAACTGTCCCTGTAGGATGACTTAGTATTGAGTTGAAGACTGGTTGGGACGAGAGAGACAATACAGAATATTAGATCAGAGGGGACCAGGACCAGTGCGCAAAGATAGTGAGGGCCGGGCTCTTAGTGCGTGTTATCTGTAATGTAAAAGGGAGGAGCTGGCATGTGGTGTAGCTTTCAGACCCTTCCTGGGACACCTGTGTCCCGTATGAGCGTGTCCGTGTTCCTCCTGGCTCCGCCTGCATTTTCAGCCTCCTGATAAGGCTCCCCCTGGAGGCAGCAGGTGATGGCTCAAACGGTTGAGTGCCTGCCACCCCCATGGGAGACCTGGATTGAGTGCCTGGCTCCTGGCCTCAGGCCAGACCAGTCCCAGCCGCTGCAGGCACTGGGGAGTGAGGGAGTGAGCCGGCGGATGAGGACACGCTCTTTCACCTTCTCAAAGATATACATTTTAAAACGAATAAAGGGAGGACCAAAATGAACTGGTAATTGTCACTCGGAGAGAGAAAGTGTCAGAGAGGAGATTTTTGTTAGGACGGGAACCAGCGGGACCGGTGGCTCTGAGCTAGGACAGTCACCTTCCTTTCTGTGCCGCTGGCAAAGGGAGAGCAAAGAGAGCTCAGAGGAGGCCACCCCAGGGGGTTCAGAGCTCACACAGGCCTAGGCCCAAGCATTATGTCCCATCGTCCTCTGTTTAGGACAGCGATACAAACGTTAGGCAGTAAATATACCACCATGGTAACTTTGAAATAAATGCTATCCTTTAAGAGTTCTGTTCTTTTCAGAAAAGCAAGTTTAAATTCATGGTGAAAAGGGCATACACTTGACTGCAAAAGTTGCTTTTACTCAATGATCACCTAAACAGAAGCTCATGTGTCTAACCGGAATATAATATAGAAAGTGCATTCATGAAAGCATTTTGTAGAACAAGGTTGTCATTTTATTTCAAGGGATGCACTGTGTTTTGGATGATTGGCATTTGAAAATAGCTGTCTTATAAATAGCACACTGGGACAATGTATACTGCATGGCAAGTGTAGTGGGCTGCACTGCGGCGGACGGATGCTAACCTGTTGTTGCTTCTGGTTATTTGTTGACAAGTTGTGGCCTGTGTGCTTAGGGGTAGGGTAGTTCTACAAATGCTTGAAGTGACAGAGAATCCACAATCACACCCTGATTTTTTTTGGACAATCAATTCGCTGCTTATGACTTGTTGTACACCTTTGAAATACTGGGTTCCAAACTACAGCACCATAAGAGAAAACAGGCCAGACTCAACAAGGGTCCTCTGAAACTGGTAATGTTGCTGAGAAAGCCAGCAAAAGGGTCCTAGGCTTACAGATTCAATACAAGCAAGGACGCATTCATTGTAGAGTGGTTAGATGATAAGCATGGCATTGTTGGGATGAATTGTGATATAACGGAACCACTTGACAAAGTTCAAGAATGGAAAAGCAAAATAGGGTAGAGCCACTGTGGTTGGTACCACCAGCCAAAGGTATTGGGCACCAAATGATTTCAGTGGCAGTGTGGAGAAACATGATTGGTTGGTTTCCAAATATTCCACTTCTATTAGAGGTACAAAATGAAACTGGCCTTTGTTTACTCAAATAATTGATATGTGTATCATACATGCACGGCTTATTCACAAAATTGTGAGCGAAGACAAGGAAGATTTCATGAATGTGTTGGATTTTGGGAGATGTCTACACGTCTACACTTAAAAAGCTGCAGTGGGAACCATCAGCAGGCACAGGTGTTTTACTGCCCCACCTGCTGCTGCTCAAGGTGATAGCAGATTTGACGTGAGAAGCCATGTCATTCTCAAATGACAAGGATAAAGATGGTGTCCAAACAAGCTATATCATGAGAATCCAGCAACACGTTGTCAAAAATGTAATGGAACCCTGTCTGAAGTGTTTTGCTCCTTTGCATCAAAAATGATTGTTGAGCAGGTCCTGAAAGTTGCTTATTTGCATACTGTATGATGTATGAAAGGGTAGCATATTTATCCAACGTCCTGTTTATATGTAAAATATTCTATATTGTCCCAGTGTATAATTTATATGACAATCTATATTTTCATTCTTAATAGATAATAAAGGATATATAAGCTCGAGTCTGTGATTTCCAAGCAATTTTAACGCACTTAAGTCTCAATGTTGTTGAAGCAGTCACAGTACTGAAAATGCAGGACTTAATGGGTTAGCTTTTCTGGGCCTCTGCTTTCAGACCTGTAAAAGGGGAAGAAGACTGTGCCAACCTCATCCTATCAGATAGGGCTGTGATTAAATGAGCTCATTAACCTGTGTTGTTAACCCCAACTTTGGCAGGAGGTCGAAAGCATTCACAGAAAAGGACTTGGCAGTTGCCTGGGGGTAAAGAATCCATCCTAGAGACTGTCACTCATCTGTCACACAGAAATCTGGAGTTGAGGAATTTCTGCATGAGAGGGCACACTGCTGAGCTGGCGAGTGCTGGGCTCTAGTGAGCAAGACTTGTTGAAGCAGCTTTTAAAAAGAAAAAAAAAAAAAAAAAGAGAGTGACAGAGAGATTTTTCCATCTGCTAGTTCACTCCGCAAAAGGCCACAACAGCCAGGTCTGAGCCAGGAACTCCCTCCTGGTCTCCCATGTGGGTGGCAGGGGCCAAGCACTTGGGCCATCTTCCATTGCTTCCAGGGTGCATTAGCAGGGAGCTGGATTAGAAGTGGAGCAGCCAGGACTCAAACCAGTGTCCATAGGCAGGCGGCAGCTTAACCTGTTATGCCACAGCTCCACGTCCACCCCTGGCAGCTTTTAATGTTCCCAGAAGATCAGAGGAGGCTGAGACCTGGAGGAGAAAGGGGCAAGAACCAGATAGAGGGTGGAGAAGAGTTGAGCAGGGGGAGGGAAGAAACAGGGTGTCAGGAGGAGGCTTCACCCGGAGGGCAGAGTTTGGTGCATTCACTGAAAGGCACAGAAGGCCAGCGGGAAACAGGGGGCAGGGGCCTGGCCAGCCTGGGCCTGAGAAGCCATGCAAAGGAATTGAAGGGTAATGGCAGTTTCCACCGCATCTCAAACAGGGAGGTGATGCAATCCAATTTACATTTTAAAAAGGTCAGGCTGGCTGTGGCTGCCACAGTTGATTTGAAGGGAGGTTGAAAAGAGACATGGAATTATGGGCTGGGAAGCCGTGGCAACCTGGCCTGCGTTGGCGCGTAGGGAGCAGGGCAGAGGGATGCAAGAACTGCAGAGAAATTCATTCCTCTTCATTCCTCGCTCATTGCCTTGCGCTGCCCTGTAGCTCCATCCTCTAGTTTCCCAGGCGGAAGGCTTGCAGGATGTTTTCTCCTCCGTTCTAGCAGGTTCTAGTCTGGTTGCAGTCATGACCAGTTTTTGCACGTTGGCAACCACAGGCAGCTTACCAGTCCGTAAAAATCAGTGGCTGAGATCCAGGACTCTGCAGATGGAGGCACAGCTCCTCCTCTGTGGCAAAATCAGCTCCATACCTCCCACTCCAACCCCTCCTGCTTCCCTGGTTTTCCTTCTGCAACTTTAACACGCACGTCACAATGCACCAATATAGCCACAGCTGGCTTTTTCATATTTATAGCTGTCTCTAAAGCTTTGGCATCAGGAGAAATGAACTAGGAATGAGATTTGAAATCCCAGTTTAATGCTCTTTCCTTTATTTTGACCTTTATCTCCTTGATCCTGAAATGGCTGGAGTCCCAGGAGCAGCAAAAAGGTGGAGACCAAAAAGGATGGCTCAGGTAACGAGGGTACGGGGTGCCCTGCCTTGGGGAACTTCCGCTCAGCAGGTGCAGCCATAAGGTCCCCATTCCCACCCTCCCCGGGGCTCTCGGGCTGCCCTTGTCCTTTCATGCCATAGCATGAGTCCCTCTGCTCTCTTCAGCCCCCAGAGTTACGTGGGTACCAATCCTACCAATTCCTTTGCTCTCAAAAATTCTTGTTATGTTCTTCATCACCTCCAGCCTGTGGTAATCTCTCACTGGCTCATTCATTCATTTATCCCTTCAAAACCGTGCACTTGCTAAGCGCCAGTCACCCTTGCAGGCTTTGGGGGTCAAAAGACATGATGCCTACTGCAAGGAGTTTTATAATTTGGTGGAGTCAGGTGGGCAAATTCCAAAATTCACAGCTCTTCTTCCAGGCCATAGTCAAAGCTCATGCCTGGGCTGCCCAAGGAGCACCCAGGGTGGGGCCCTTCACTCCTCCCAGGAAGCTGGCCCAGGATGTGGGGTCTGAGCTGAGTCATAGCAGGTGAGCACACCAGAGCTGGACAAAGTAGACGAGGCAGGGTGCGTGCAAGGGAGCAGGACAAATTCCAGATAGGGAAGCCGGTTCCCTATTTCCAGGTTCTCGGTGAGTCACGGCCAGTCCACTCTGCTTGGCAGGCACGGCCCTGCATGTGCCTGCCCCCTCCTGGCCCGTCCACTCCCTGCCTCCTCTGATGGCAGCCCTCTGCCTCTTCATCACTTCCAGCTCTGATCTTCCTCTCGAGTCAACCTGTAACTCTCCATTTCCATTCCTCACTCATCCGTTCCACTCCTGCCCCCACCTCCAATTCTCCACTGAACCCCTCCCCAGCCTTCTAGATCCTCCACCTCACAACACCGTCTTGCCCAGACACAGTGGGAGTTCCGAACGTACCCACAGACATGCCTCTGGTAGAGGGTTCCTGAATTTGAGGCCCTAGGACACTTAGAAACGCAGAGGGGTCGGGGCTGTCCGGGAGCTCAGGCGACTGCCACTCACCCCAGGGATTACAAATCCACACACCTGCGGGTGGCATAAACAGGTAAAGGTCTAGGTGACAATCAGAGCGAAACTACCAGCAGCTGACACTGGGTTCCTCCTTGAGGAGGTAACAGGGGTGATAGAACAGTGTTAAAGTTCAACTGAGGCTTTAGTAGTGGCTGTGCTGGACCACGCGCCTGGAGCCACCAGATGCTCTGTTTTTTTCATGAGAAGCCCCAGATCTGGATTTTTCTATGACATCCCACTGACACGGAAAAAAATTAAAGCCCAGGAAAAGCTAACAGGTAGTGGGAGAGCAAAACATACCTGTGGCTGCAGCTTCCCAGCTGCCAGCCCCCGAGTGCTGATCCAAATGACAGGCAGAGCTGCTAAGGAGCCCCCAGGCAGTTGTGTGACTGAGGTGACTCATTTCCGTTGTCACGCGTACATTCCCCATGAGGTCAGGGACGAAGGAAGCAGAGATACAGAATATTTGTAACTCATGTCTAGGATTTGAGAGCACGGCTAGGATCCGCAGGGTCTCAGGGCATCTGGCGTGATGGAAGCCACCACACCCCAGATGTTCCTAGGCTTATTCTAATGAGCCCCCCTGGGGTGCCCACTGGACCCCCTTTTTCCCATTGGGCCAGGTGCTGGATGGTTTGGAAGGACACTTCCATCCCGTCTCCTGGAACTTTCAAATGAAAAAGGAGCTACAGCTGGAAAAACCGGAGGTCCAAAACTTACCTATGTGGTTGAACATTTCAACTCAAGGCAGGGAGAGGTGGAGGGGCACTTCCCACACTTTTTTTTTTTTTTTAAGATTTATCTGTTTGAAGGGCCAGCACTGTGGCATAGCGGGTAAAGCTACTGCCCGTAGTGCCTGCATCTCATGTGTGCGCTGGTTTTGAGTCCTGGCCACTCCGCTTGCGATCCAGCTCTCTGCTATGGCCTGGGAAAGCAGTAGAAGATGGCCTGGAACTCCATCCAGGTCTCCCACGTGGGTGCAGGGGTCTAAGGACTTAGACCATTTTCCACTGCCTTGCCAGGTGCATTAGCAGGGAGCTGGATTGGAAGTGGAGCAGCTGGACTCAAACTGGCGCTCCTATGAGATGCCGGCTGGCATCGCAGGCAGAGGTCTAACGGCTGCACCGCCATGCTGGCTCCATTATCACCTTCATTAAACACAGTGCTCTTGGGGATCTTGTCTGAGTGCAGATTCTAATTCATTCAGTCTGGCTGGGAATGAGACTGTACACTTCTTCTTTTTTTTTTTTTTTTTTTTAACAGGCAGAGTGGACAGTGAGAGAGAGAGAGACAGAGAGAAAGGTCTTCCCTTTGCCATTGGTTCACCCTCCAATGGCCGCCACGGCCGGTGCACTGCGGCCGGCGCACCGCGCTGATCCGATGGCAGGAGCCAGGTACTTCTCCTGGTCTCCCATGGGGTGCAGGGCCCAAGCACTTGGGCCATCCTCCACTGCACTCCCTGGCCACAGCAGAGAGCTGGCCTGGAAGAGGGGCAACCGGGACAGAATCCGGCGCCCCCACCGGGACTAGAACCTGGTGTGCCGGCGCCGCAAGGCGGAGGATTAGCCTAGTGAGCCGCGGCGCCGGCCGAGACTGTACACTTCTGACCCACTCAGGTGACACTGAAGCTTCTGGGCTGCTGGCCACCAAACTCCAGTGGACCAAGAAAGGGTTCTGGCTTAGGCCTTCTGGGTTGAAGGCCATTGCTGGTTCAGCTAACTGAATCTGCTGGGGGGTCTTGCACAGTTAGCATGGCCAAATCCCATCAGTTCTCTTGTTTTCCCGGCACTGCCTTGCTCACCTGATGCAGCGGTGACTCATTTCCAGGCTCTGGAGCCTGGCAGCCTGGTTTTGAATCTTGACTCCACCTCCTCACTGTGTGACCACCCGGAAGTTACTCAACCCCTCTGGGCCTCAGATCCCTCCTGTGTAAAATGAGACGACAGCCGTGCTGCCCGCACAGGGTTTCCGTGAGGATGACAGGAGTGTGGACGCCCATGATCCTTTGGGGCGGGTTGGCGGTGGTCTGCGAGGGTCCTGTGAACTGGGGCTCAGACACACGCCTTGCTTTCCTTGACCTAGAGAAAGACACCCACTCTGAAGACAGCATCCCCTGCACCCGAGACCTCAGCTGGAGGGAATCGCTGTCTCACGGGGAGTGGGAACGAGAGAACCCCTCTGGGCCGCAGCCGCTGTCGCTCCTCAGCACCCTGGCAGCCTCCACCAGGCCACAGCTGGGCCCACCCCTAGGTATGGCGTGAGGAGGAAGCCGCAGGTCCTGGGGTCCCAAGGATGAACCCAGAACCCTCTCGGGTGGGGACGGGAGGCCTGAATCCTTTTTTTTTTTTTTTTTTTTTTTTTTTTTCTCTCCTCCTGCCCATTCGTTTCTAGCTCCAATGGGGCTGAGTAGAACCTGGGAGTGAGCCACCCCCAGAGCCCCGCAGGTGCTGTCGGTGGTCCTGAGGCTAGCACGTGGCCCGCAGCAAGGAGCTGGTCTTTCAATGGGGAGGCGGGGCCTTCCCTGGGGCGGGGCATCCCTGTGCCTTGTTGCTCCCTTTTCTTTCTCTTGATCTCTGGTTGGGGGAGGGAGGCTTCATTTTTTTTTTTTTTTAAGATTTATTTATTTATTTGAAAGGCAGAGTTACAGAGAGAAGGGAGAGACAGAGAGAGATCCTCCACCCACGGGTTCACTCCTCAAATGGCTCCAATGATTGGGGCGGGGCCAGGCTGAAAGCCAGGAGCTTGGAAACTCCTGGGGCCCAGGCACCTGATCCAACTTCCGCTGCTCCTCCCAGGTGCATTAGCTGGGAGTTGGGTAGGAAGCTGAGCAGCCAGCACTTGAATGGGTGCTCATCTCTCATATGGATGTCAGTGTCGCGGGTGGCCGCTTAACTTGCTGTGCCACCCCAGAGTGGGACCTTCTTACTGCTGGTGTTGGGGTGCAGACTAGGAAAGCTGGGGGTGGGGTTCAAACTTCCCTGGGGTGCCGGACATTCCTCCCCTTGTCCCAGCACTCATCCCTCTGGCCTTCAGTCATCTAACAACTGTGAAGCCTTGTCTGTGGGCCTCTGTCTGACTACAGGGTGCTACGGTTCCCAAGGTAAACAATTAGAAATAAATCACTCATTCTTATAATGGCCTGTTATTAGTTGTTGACGATTTAACCTAAGTATAGGCGTCTCCCCTTATCTGCAATTTTACTTTCCTTATTCTCAGTTTCCTGTGTTCAGCCACGATCCAAAAGCATTGAATAGAAAATACCCTATTCTGAGAAGCAGGCCTCCTTCCCACAGTCTGTATAGTACAATATATTAGCAGAATTGTTGTATTGTATTATGGGTGGCTGTTGTTGATCCCCTACTGTGCCTTTATCACAGGCATGCATGCATAGGGGAAAAAACCACACAGGGGAAGTGTGTATACTCGCACTATGCATAGATTCAGGTCTCCACTGCGGGTCTCATCCTCCACATACAGGGGGGACTGCTCTACCTGTGTGCCCAGAAAGGAGGTTGTTTATATGCATTTTTCTCCTGTGTTCCCAGGAAGTTCCATCTGAGCCATGCTCTCACACCGGGGAGAGTGCGCAGCCCTTGCCAACGCCACACTGCAGCGTGCAGCTTCTGAGGGACCCCGGAAGCGCGCAGGGGAGGAGAAAGCCACAGCTCGGGGCAACCGGGAATCGCCTCCTGGTGATGGCAGGGCCTTCCTCCTTCCAGCTGCACGTACCCCTGAGCCTCCATCTCCTCACCACCTCAAGTGAGCACAGCCCCCTCCACGGCACTGCCCCAGCAGGCCCAGGAAGACGCGCTCGGGTGAGGAGATGCAGAACCGGGTGGCAGCAGGGGGTCCGAGAAGAGGAGCGGTACAAAGAGAAACTGTAACCGAAGGAACAGCAGAGACTTGGGAGGCACACAGAGGACAAGAGAGGGAATCCATCCTGAGAGAGGCCTCGCCAAGCTTCTATTTATCTAATTTAAACTTGAAAGTAAGACCATAAACTCAAAAAAGAAATGCGGTTTTCCTTTTTTTTTCTTTCAACTTTATGTATGTATATATATTATTAGAAAGGCAAAGAGACACAGAGAGATCTTCCCTCTGCTGGTTCACTCCCCAGATGCTCACTGTGGGGAGCAACTCGGACTAGACTAAGTTACTGGAATTAAGACTTATTCTATGCATCTGCTCTCCCACAATATGGCGCTGAGAAGGGAGAAACAGCATCTACACAGCTGCCTCCAGTTCAACCAATAAACTGTAGGACCTGCTCCTGATTGGAGGAGAGCAGCGTACTCGGCATGTGGGTAGCAGAGTTGGGATTGGCGGAAGAGGACTATAAAGGAGGAGAGAGACAACATGCACCAGGAACATCTGAAGGAACACCTGTGCAGCCCCCGAGAGAGCCGGCCAGCGGTGTGCCGCTCCCCCGCGGAAGTGGGGAAAGTGGCTAGGGGGAACCGCCCTTCCACAGAGGTGGAAGGGTCGGCAGCCAACCCGGGAAGAACCAGCAGCAAACCCGGGAAGGGCCGAGCAGACAAAAGAACAGCACAGGGTCCTGTGTCGTTCCTCCACGAAGAAGGGGAGCGACATAATGGTGCTGTGACTCGGATATGAAGCCTAGGCAGGGTTTAGTGTCATTCCTCCATGAAGAGGGGGAGCGACATAATGGTGCCGTGACTCGGATAGGGAATCTAGGAGGGAAGAAACAGGAAGAAGTGGGAAAATACCGGAGAGAGAGACTAGCAAAGAGCCTAGGGAAAAGCCGGACGGAAAAGGTGCCGGAAGAAGCTATCAAAAGCCTAGGCATAGATTCAGATACGGACTACGGGGGGAAGCTGGGAGAAATCTCTAAGGTCGAAAGCGAAAGTGAAAGCTAGAACAAACAGACTCGGATACGGACTGTGGGG